TACCTGTTTCCTTTTCTCTCCTTGCTTTGCAAGCCTATTTTCCCTCTCTGAAACATTTTCTTGTTTTCTTTTTTCTCTTCGCTTTGCAAGTCTATTCTCTCTCTCTGCAACAGTTTCTGGTTGTTTTGCCTGTTTCCTTTTCTCTCCTTGCTTTGCAAGTCTATTTTCTCTCTCTGAAACAGTTTCTTGTTTTCTTTTCTCTCTTTGCTTTGCAAGTCTGTTCTCTCTCTCTCTGCAACAGTTTCAAGTTGTTTTGCCTGTTTTCTTTTCTCTCCTTGCTTTGCAAGTCTATTTTCCCTCTCTGAAACAGTTTCTTGTTTTCTTTTCTCTCTTTGCTTTGCAAGTCTATTCTCTCTCTCTGCAACAGTTTCTGGTTGTTTTACCTGTTTCCTTTTCTCTCCTTGCTTTGCAAGTCTATTTTCCCTCTCTGAAACAGTTTCTTGTTTTCTTTTCTCTCTTTGCTTTGCAAGTCTATTCTCTCTCTCTGCAACAGTTTATTGTTGTTTTGCCTAAACAATTATTGCCCTCCCGAAAACAAAATGGCGGCTTTGAACTTGCAAGTTTATAAATGTTTTCTCAAGTTTATTTGAAGACTACAGAATCGAAAGAGACGAAAAATACACAGCAGGCAACAGGAAATGCTGTGGAAATACTTTAGGCAAGTTTTTAAATTTTAATATCGCTTACTTTGTATTGTTTTTATCACAAAATACAATTGTTGTATGAATATATATATTTTTTTATTTCGTCGCTATATAACAAAACACTTAATGTCTGTTGTCTCGCGAAATAGTTAGTTTTGTTTTCCCTCGAAACTCAATGTTTCCCTCGACTTCGTCTCGGGAAACATTGAGTCTCTCGGGAAAACAAACTAACTATTTCCCTCGCAAGCAGACATTAAGTGTATACTGTGAGCTAATTATAGCTATCTATCTACAGCAGGCCTTAAAATATCGGTCGGTCACGGACATTGTCCGACCCATTCGTGAAATTGTCCGACGTAGAGAGGAAACCACCGGACATTCTGTCCGACCTAAGTGAAACTGAGGTTTATTATTTGTCCGACCCGAGTGAATTGGTGACCAACCTAAATGTGTAGCTTTGTCCATCTTAAATCAAAATGTACCCTAGCCAGGACTAGAGCGGAATCTTGTACGTTAAATGGAAAATCATATCGTATAGAAGGTGATCTGGAGATACTGTTTTAACGTAGTCGAGCGCGGGGCGGCGAGCGAAATGGTGAAGTGGAAAACGGGTCAAAGTCTTTTTAAAACTGCTGTTTTGGAAAGCAAGTTCATTTTGGCTTGGAAATAAGTATGAAAGAAACAAATTATTTAATATCTTCACAACATTTACCGTTCAGAGTTAATACATTGTGCTGATATTTATTTGTGTCATTCAGACTTATTTCCAAGTCTCGAAATTGAACTGAAGGTCATCGGACAAATGTCCGACCCAAACTCAACGTCATCGGACATTTTGTCAGACGGCCCTGTAAAAGATATTTTAAGGCCTGTCTACAGTATTTAGCATGCCAAATAGGGCCGGGTCACCACAACAGCATATGCCAATTACTGTGAGCCCTTTTTACCCAACCCACCCTGTCAACTTTCCATGTGGG